TGAAATACAATCAAAAACTCTTTCATCAGCTTAATTTGTCATCTGCGGCCGTGCTGCTGCCCTGTGTGAAGAGGCGAGCTCTGGTTCGGTCTGGAAACAGGATGTGGGCAGGAGAACTGGGCATCTGCCACATGCCATGGAGCCTCTGGAGCTCATTTGCATAGGTTATGTATGTGTGTGTGTTTGTACAAGTGTTTGGTTTGTATCTGGGTGTCCAATTAAATCCTTGTGTGTGCGTGTGTGTCTGAGTAGTTGTCTATTGTCAGTTTGTGCGTGCGTATACTTGCAAATGTTGGGTTCATGCCCCGTGTTTAGTGAAATCCTTGTATATAACAAGTGTGTGCGTGCATAAATGTGTGTGTGTGTGTGTGTGTGTGTGTGTGTGTGTGTGTGTGTGTGTGTGTGTGTGTGTGCTTGTTCCCTCTCCCATTTTTTGCGTGGGCTTCTTTTCCCGGCACAGCACCATGCATGGCATCCCCGTTGGCACTGTCTTCAGCCCACCCTGGAAAAGTCAAAGACATGCAGCCAGGCTGTCTGTCTCCCTCAAGTCTGTCATCAGCCTTACCTCTCGATCTTTCCGCTCTGACAGTATGTGGTCCAATATCAAAACATGAAGACGGTCGAGACAGGAGCAAGACGCTGCAAAAGTATTTACCCTAACTGAATGAATGAAGCTCGTTCTGAGTCTTTCAAGCATCATATTTCCTTAGACAAAAACACTCGTTTAGCAATGACTGGTCGTCTCTCTACTGTCAAATATGTTTATCAAATGACCTCAGAATCACTTGTTCTTGGTCTTGGAAACAAGTGGACAGGACATTTGAATCGAGACTTGGTCTGACAAAACCCCAAAAGACATACAAACAGCTCTGCTTTATTGTCATTTCAAGAATTTTTCTGAAACCATGTGACATAAAAAGGGCGATTCCTCCTCCAGTATGAAGAAGATGCCACTTAATTCAAGTCACATTGGAAACAAGAAAATTAAATTGCTTGGCACAATGTCTCTAGTGTCCTGATATACAGTACTGCTGGTTTATGGTGTAAATGGAAAATGTTAATACAGAAGCATTTTCTTTCTGAAACAAGGCCACATCATACAAACAGTGTGTGACATTGTTTATATACTGTAACATAGTAATGTGTAACAAAACAGAATTCATTGCACGCAGTGAAACCACTCTGCTCGGTATTTTGGTGAATGTTTGGTTTTAGTCACTGGAAATGGAGGTATGATCAGCCGGTCACCCTGCCTCTCCGCTTTATCCTGGCTCAGTGTGCTGGAAAGTCTGAATGCTTCAGACTAGCTTAAACAAACAAATAAGCCCAGAGGGAAAATATGAGAAATACAGGCAAACATCAGCACCTTGGCTTTGAGAAATGAGCACCGATCGCTGCCTTGAAAGATGCTTGTTTTGTGCTGAGACGGCAGCAGCTACATGATGTATGATTAATGTTGTCGTGCCACGTCTGTTTTCATCTTGTGAAGCTTTTCGATCATAAGTGCTGATTAATTTTCTGTAGTTCTCAGAGTGGGCAGTAATTTCTTGCAGTCACGTTTTATTTGCCCTGGCGTTTGAGATATTTATCTCTGAAATTGTTCACCAATTTAAATATGTCTGTATTTGTGCACACTGAAGGCTGTTGCCCTGGTTGGAAAAACAACTGTGCCAGTAAGAGATTTGTAGGCGGGATTAAACTGCAACAAGACGGCCCATGTAAGAGATCGACATAGCTGTGTGGTGTACAGTGTTGTAAGATTAAAACGTTAGTCAAGTGAAATAATATAGAAATTCAGTCTGATTACCAAACAAGTTTTTTTTGGTAGAAAATAATTTCAGTGAAAACTTTAACATCAATTTGGAGATGTGATTGTGTCCACCTGATGAATATAAGTTTAATATTCACTTCTCTTTTAGCTCTGTTTTTGGTCTCTCTCTCCTGTACGTTAAGACTCATCTATGTTGAAAAGTCAATGAAGAAGAAGATGGTTAAAAATAGCAAAACGTTAATTAGCTAGTGTTTTAAGATTAACCTTTCAAATACTAGCTAGATACTAACTTTCACGAGAGTGGAGACGCTGTTCACGGCAAACGATTCATAAATTTAGAATCGAAGCATTGATTGGTTACATGCGATGTCACATTAATAACTGTTTTTCGACTTTTGTGTATTAGTACATCTTTACACAGATAGACCATATATATGTTGTTTTTATCTTTAAACCATCTTCAAAATCTGGTTTACTCAACTGCTATTGGAGCACAGAATAAAAAGGGGCGGGACTTAGTAAGGCTCAATTCTCCGTGAACCCTTTCACATTACACATTCATCATTTGATCCGTTCTTACTGTAATATGAAAATGTGAATTAATACAGCTTTAAGCATCATTCACCTCCATTACACTGGGTGGAGGTAGATATCTCAGAGACTGATATGTTAGGTAAGCGAGAAAATGTTTGTCTTCATTTTATAATTTGGGTTGTCTATCACAGGTAATTTCCTCAGGAAAGACAAGGCATCAGTAGCGTCCTTTGCTATTAGCTCAGAAAGGTGCCTGGAAAAAGACACTGAAGTCTAATTTTGTGTAGTGCAATGATAGATCGCACTGATAAAGTAGTTGTGAGTTATGAGACGGACAGACGGCTCCAAGAACATTGCAGGGGCTGCAGTTCTCATCCCCCAAACTGCGTTTGTAAGATATTATCTAACTTCAAAGAGAACACAAGAGTTTAATTAATGAATGTTATGTCTGGACATGTAATATTCTTTGAAATACAGTCTAATCTTAGCTGCTGCCCTCTAATCATTTTAGATTTACAGCAGAGAGCAGCAGTTGGAGCCACCAGCGGCCATGTCTCTTCCTCAGAGCAACATCATTAGGATGTCCCTGCTACTGTGCTGTAAACTGTGTTGTTCACATATTCTGTGATGCATTAATTAACTTTAAAATCTTTTTTTTTTTTAAAACAGTGGAGTCATTTCACACAGACGTTTTTTTTTATACAGTATGGGGCTTCAGCTTTAGCTTTTAAAGACGCTTCAGCAGGACAGGACAGGAAAGCTGTTTTGGACACACTTTTGGGGATAAAATTCGTGACTTCTCCTTATAAGACGCTCTCTCCGCTGGGCCTCCTGTCACTCTCCGGTGTCAGACTTAAAGGCCAAGTCCAAAACTGCTGCATCGTGCCTGCAGATGAAACACTGTCAGCCCTCTCCTGGCTTTGTTGACAGAGTGGTTTACTGGGTTGAATATATTGATGCCTGGGCTTTTGAGACTTGAGTGATGTGACTGTGTAACCTCTTAAAATTTACTTTTTCATACATTTCCCTGTTGAAAATGCTTTTTTTGTGTGTGTAAGAAAATGTCATATGACAGATTATTTTTGGTTTTATAAAATATACAAAACCGCTGGTATATACTTGACCATTTGCCTCCCGTGAAAACAGCAGTCCAATCGTAGCTTAGCAACCATAACTAGGCAACTAGGATTTCTCCACACGATGAAGTATACATGGGCAATAATCGTCTTTTAAAGAATTTGGAGGGTGATGTCTTTTCTCAGACTTTCCACAACCAAAATCTCAAGAGCAGAAGTGTAAAGAAATAATTAAATTGTAAACAGTTTATCTGCTCTGATAAAAGCTATAATCGTTAGTGTGTCTGGTTAACTAGCTTACTGCCTACAGTAGTACCTAATCGAGCGTTAGGCCAAGGAGCCCATTCATGAACTACATTTGTTTATTGGGTCACAGGATATGTAAATAAAACATGTGGAAGTGTGCTGGGCTTTGAAGCCAATTTGTATAGTGGCCACACCATGTAACTACAACTCATATGATGCATAGCGACCCACAAAGACTTTGAAATAGACTCACACTTACATTTTTGGAGAGTTACCACCCCTGTGAAATAACTTGTTTCAGAATTTGTTCCATTCAGTCCAATGACTAATAACGCTTTCTAATAAACAATAAATTTAGCAACTTTTGCTCAAAAAACATAGTAATTATTTATCTTACTATCATAAACATTGCTCTGAAGCTCTGAAGCACTGAGGCTGTAAATAGTTGCTTTAGTCTTTCAGCATGATATCATGTAGCACATAAAGTTCAAATGTATGACCCCCAGAGTTCTTATTTTAAAACAAGTAGAAAAAGTAAAAAGTCAGAGACAACATTTTTCTACCAAGTCATGTAGCTAACATTAGCTTTATTAGCTAGCCACAGCTGTAATTTCACCTGGCATAAATTGATGCTCGCTGCCCATGAGAAGCCTGTTTGTGTCTACCTCCATCTTAAATCACTGACTCATTGTTTCAAAAATAACAAAGAAATCAAAGTGGTAAATCTGCCACTGTTACTGCTACAACACTAACCAAGAGTTTATCATGATAAAGCGTGATCATATTCTTCTGACTATGTATTAAGTGGTTAAACGTGTTTTCTGCCCGTTGTTGTTTCACTGACGCTACATACATATCTCCTGCAGTGGCACAGACCATTAGTTCTGTAACAGCGGGTAAACATTTGAGACAATCACAAGGCAAACAGAGAAACACAATCGATGCCTCTCAGCCTCCAGAAATATGATCCTGCACCTGAACTCCCTCAAAGTACCTCGGCACCTCCATGAATGAGGCAAAAGACAGACAGTGTCCCTTTAAGGGGACAACTCACAGAGGAAGAAGAAAAGCTGCAAAGAAGGAAGGAGAGGAGGTGTGTATGTGTACGTGTACATGTCAAACTGATAGACACTTGGGAGAGAGAGAGAGAGAGAGAGAGAGAGAGAGAGAGGGAGATAAGGAGAAAGAGAGACAAAGACAGAGAGACACTACATTGCATTAGGCACTAAGAGCCATTCCTCGCTCGCTAAAGGCTAATGCAATTGCCACAATAAGAGTGTCTCAGCGGAGGCTGTAAAAAAAACTAGAGAGGGGAATGAAAGAGGAGAGGCAGGGTGGGAGGGAGGGAAGAATAGAGGGAGGGATAGAAAGGAGGGAGGAGGGAGGGTAGAAGGAGAACTGGCAGCTCTGCCTCCAGACTCTCATATGGACAGTGGATCTCTGGGGACAACTGGTTGAAAGTCTCTCTCTGTCTCTACTGTTACTCATGGCTGTGTGTGAGTGGCTGAGTGGGTTGGTCCTCTGCTGTGTCTCCAGAGTGATTTATCAGGTTTGCAGGGAGGAGACAGAGGGAGAGAGGGGGAGACAACTCCGGTAGCAGGGCAGGCGGCAGTTACCAGCCTGCTGTCTGGGTGTGTTAACTCCACATCTGACCTCTATGGGAACAGAGCAGCCTCCACTCCTCTCCTCCCCTCCTGGCAGACTGTGGGAACAAGGGGGACCGATCTTCATTTTACCCCCTCTCTCTCTGCCTCTCACTGGGCTGTCGAGCTCTGGGAAGCGGCCCTGGACAGAGCAGGACATGACGAGACAGGACAGCTATGGCAGCAAGACCTCAGCGGGAGACCTGGGCTCTGAGGATTGCACTGCCGACTGATTCTTGGATCTAGAATGGCACAGTTGGCACAGTCAGGCTGTCAGTCAGGCAGCCATGCAGTTGTCTAGTCAGTCATTAGCCAGTCAGATGTTTAGTTAGTCAGCCAGTAAATTGGTCAGCGGGGTCTTCCCCATAGGGTCAACTCTTCCACTTTGTGCATATCCTCATCTGAACTCTGAGGTGACTCAGACTTACCGAGTAGCAAAAAAACGGACCTGTGGGCATGGTGAGTGGCAAACACCCCTCTCTCTTTCTCACATGCTTTTCCAAACACATTTTTTTTCCCTTTTACTGTTTTCCTTATGTGGGTTTAGCGTTCTATGTCCAATTTCTCATTTCTTTTAGTTTTGCTCAGTTGTGTGCCTCTCCCTTTTTTTCCTTTGGCAGCTCAAAGTCTCAAAGACAACGTTAGACTACAGATACGATCAAAGCTTGGGTCTGATGTTATAGAGTTTATGCAGTTGTCATTGGCTAGCTTTGATCTTTTGGTGATGGTACTTGGGAAGACAGCACATCTGTTTGTACGACAAACAAGTAGTTGGTCTTACAGCCATCACTGGCTCACCGAAAGATATTTCAACATGGGCGGTTTAATCTTGTTTATGAGGGTCGAATGAAAAATAAAATCTTTATCTACTCAAGGCTACTTTACAGCGTAACATAGTGGATTTAGTTATGCCAAAATCGATAAAAACCTTATGAAAGTTGAATGAACCTGTATTTGATTTTGATCTCTGTGAAAAGGAAAACAGATAATATTTCACACACACACACACACACACACACACACACACACACACACACACACACACACACACACACCTGCATGACTTTAGGCTGCTGTACCAGCACTTTTTCCCAGCAAACTCATGACTGTGGGGGGTTTTTGTAGAACTCCATAATCTCAACACTGTTTGGAAAAGGAGTTTGATGTGATAAACTAACCCTAAAGTCAAGTGCACAGAACATTTTTAGACAAATAGTTCAAATATTTGAGTATGCTCCAAGGCTTTATCTGGGTCTGCTAAATCACTGGACTTGTTCCCATGTGCTAGAGACATGTGACACAAGGGCAAAGCCAATGCTTTCACGCCAGTTCTATACTTCTGGATGTACAGTGTTTGTATCAAATGCAGCAGTATAAGTGAGAAGATGATGTTACTGTAATAGTAAAGGATTATATACGGCATTTAGTGATATTTTGATATTAATATGAACAAACTATATGCATCTTTAAGCTTTTTTTTTTTTTTTTTTTTGCTGGTTTATGCTCATTTTTCTGTTTCCCCTGTCTGCACATAAACTATATGAATGAGTCTCAATAAAACCCTCTGATAAAAAACTTAGCAGTAATTTACACCGAGCCAGCTCAGACTAGTGTATACCACAATGCGAATGGAAAATGGCATGAGCTGAAGTAAAAGACTGGCTGATTTATCTCGATAACGAGCCAGATAATTCTTTTGCAGGAGTTGGTCAACCAAACCAAAGCTAACATGCACACAATGAACGCAGCAAATGAATCAGTCCCTCCAGGACTTCTCAGACTGATTTCACGGCAGTTTAAAAAAAAAAAAAAAAAATTGCAATGCGTGTTGCAATGGTTTTAGTCTTTTTGTAAAATGAAACTGCAAAAATTGTTAACAAATTCTTCCAGTGAAAATAAAATCAGTAGTTTGGTGATGTATGGATCAACGTTATCTGCGAGTAACTGTTATGATTGGTCAAAAAAAAAGAAAGTCAGATGTTGCAGTGATTGGACTAAATTGCAAAGTCATGCAGAAGTCACAGGGATTGGGTGAATGTAGATTGTTGCGATGCGATCACAATATCGCAACTTCCTGGTGGAACTGATGAGTAATGGACTCACAATTGTCAGGTGAGCAGAAATAAGACTCGAATGGGATGGCCATGTTGCTCTGTATCTGCCAAATGTTTAAGAAGTTAATTATTTGCTATAGCAAATAATTGACATTATATAAATGCTGCATTAAGCTTTTTCGGAAGTCATTCTGCCCCCTAGGGGTCAAATATCATATAATTCAGTTTTAAATCTAAACTCTACTTTGGAATAGGCCAAACACTGCGTACTCAGTTTCTGCGGCAGATGTTGACATGGGCGTTGTCTTGAGAACAATGAACAGATGTTTGTTATTTGGGTTCGGCAGCTAATTTCACTGTCATCGATAAGAATGTATGTGTGTGTGAGCACATGTGGTCTGTGTTCTCCAGCAAGAGGTGCACCTGTGTGAGTCTACAGTAGTTTGTTGTGTGTCTCTGTGTGTGTGTGTGTGTGTGTGTGTGTGTGTGTTGGTGTCCTGTGTGCAGCCACATGGCCTTCTCCTCTCTCATGGTTTCCCTGCACTTTGTGTGTTCACTGGTTCCTCTCAGATCAACTGCAGAGTGTTAAAGTGCGCAGGACAGCATGGTTTCCCTCAGCTCTTTCAGCCCGGCCATGCGTCTACCACAGAGAATTTCTGTCTGAGCCGAGGCAATTACAGCACACATCCAAAGCTATCTTAGCCAGGAACCAAATGAAGGAGCCTTTGATAGGCCCCGACTGATGCATATTTACTTTTTACGACCAACCAAGTAGTAAACAGCTTGCCTTGTTGGCGCTGGAGCAAGTCTTTAAATACAGGCCTGTTCACACACAAACATACATATAAACACACACACACACGCACACACACACACACACAGAGAAAGAGACAAAGACTTTTCAAGAAATCAAGAGAAAGGTATATAGCCATCTCTTCTTCTGCAAATATGCTACAGAAATATTCACGACTAAAGGACACTGCCAGCTCGATTTGTTTGCCAGTCACTGATTTCATAATTGGGTTTGTCGAGCTATGCCTGACTGTTTTTTTTGGTTTTTTTGCGGAGCTGCAGACACAGCAGCAGCAGCAGCAGCAGCAGTAGCCTCCAATTGAAGCCATGTGTGGTGGAAAAACAGGCCTCAGTTTGTGGAGAGATTGCATGCTTGGAGTGGGAGGGAGCCTGCTGGTTACAGAGGTCACAATCCGAACACGCCAACTCCTCTTGGCCTTCTCACACGCCATGCAGACGGATGCGTCTCAATAGTCAGGCAGGAATCCCTCCCAAACCCTCCTTCACTCCCCCTCCTTACCTTGGTCGGAATTAAATAAGACGTATCACCAGATTCTGCTGCACCTTTCACCTGCTGTTTGTGCATTTTTATTTTAAAAAAAAACTTTTATCTGACAAGTTTTGGAATAATGCAGATCAAATAAGGACAAGAAGAAAAGGACTCCTAGTGAGCTTTTGTTCTTATAGGTGGTGTCTGAAACTGCGAGAACGCTGTGTTCAGGGTGTGCCACAAATTTAAAAAAAGCGGTTGGTTTAGTTGAGTCTGGTATGAGACTTTATTAGAGTTCGTTCTGCTAATAGCAGTGCTGGTACGTCCTCAGATGAACCCAGCAGTCTGATGTTGTTGTGTCTGAGTTTATTTCATCCACTGCTACGTCACTTGAGCATACTTTCACTCACATATACTGCCTGTGTATAATCTCTTCCATCTTTTCATACTTTTGCCATCTTTTGTGCGTCACTCTCTCTTTTCTTTTCTCTCTCCGTACTACACCTCCCTCTATTCTCAGGTTCCCTCTGAGAGTCTTTCCCTTCTAGTCAAAATGTTATCAGCCCAGCCATAGCTATTAGCTAATAGCTGCGATAGCTACTACTATCAGATTCAGAGATAGCCTATGCCAGGCTTTAATGCAGCTGTGCCATTTCCCCTCTTGCATTATAATGGATCATGTTCCTGTCAGTGCAGAGGGCCGGATCATTTTTTCACTTCGCCATTGTTCCTATAAGGGGGGAGTCAGTGCCTCTATAAGGATAACATTCAAATGATTAAGCATGAAGTACTTTTTGAATAAAATCTGTTTAGTCTCATATGTCTAAGAAAAGGTTGGTAATGATTGATTCGGCATGAAATTACATCCCCACCAAATTGCATTAACGCTATGCAAAGTGGATTATTGTTAATGGGACATGAGAAAAAGCTGCTGCTTGATGCCTGCTCCCTTCATCAGTCACGTGACGGCTGGTTTATCAGGACTGAGTGAGCTAAATAATGAAGCTCGGCCCCAACAAGCACTGGTAATGACTTTTTAATGCTCATGGGCTCTTTTGTTACTACAGAGGTGTGATTGGTTGAGACAGGGGTCTCGTGTTTTATCTCTCTGATCAATTCCCTGTGTCTGAAACACGAATATAGAATACATCCGCTATTTCTTTTTGATCAGAGGATTTTCTTGAAGCAAACGGGTTCATATGATGTGTCTGTGTTCACATCTGATAGCAAATGTGTTTATAGTTGTCATAATTGTTTAAGCGCAAACTTTCAGTCTTGTCTCGTCACGCATGGTGTCATTTGTACAAATGTGACAGAAGTTGTGTGTAGAATAGAATAGCTAGCTAGCAACGAATGCACCAGCTGTAACGCCACTTCTTTCTGTTATTTCCATCCAGTCACTCACATTTTTCCTCCATCATTCTGAAGCAGATTCATTCAGCCCCCTGGGCTCAAGTTGAAACATTTTCAACTCACACGGTTGTGTCTTTGCGTCCAGAGGCAAAAATCGCACCCACTCATGTCTTTCCACTAACTTTAGATGCAATCGCGCCACTTCTAAAATTCACACAATTAGAGACTCCTGCCTGCTTTCTCACCTCTGCACCTCAACACTCACTGTATGGGAGTGGAGTGGCTGTTGTCTGAGGGGCAGCATGCAGAAGCCTGTCATGCATTTATAGTGAAACAGCTTAGTCAGGGTTATGATCAGAACCCTAGAGAGCACTTTGTCATGTTTTATCTACCACAGGAGCATCCAAGAGGGCATTTTTTTCTCACAGTATGGGGGCATGGGGCGGCAGTCCACCAGTGTGGGAGCGCTTGTTGGATTGTCGTGGCGGATAGTTGCAGAAATTATCGACTGCAGCCCCAGAGACATCAGACAATTATGGCAGGAGTGGGTTTTTAGATGCTGTTTGACAATCTGACAAGTACTTACGATAGTTTGAACCATACCAACCCCTGGAAAGGTGAGGTGGGGCATTCGACATACTGGTTTGGTCTCGTATTTGACAACCTGGGAATGAGACTCAACAATCAACTCTCTTTCACCAGAATCACTGACCCCTTTAAGGCGAGGATATACTTCCAAACAAAAAGTGATTGTCTAAGAATGACATACCTGTCAAGCGACTGAAGTGAATGTTGGATGGTCAGTTTTGGGAAAAGACAGGCGAGGGGAGGGTATTTCAGGCACTGTTGATGATCCTATGAGCACTTTATTACACACTAACGCCTTTAGAGTCTGCTTGAAAGGTTTGACAGTTCGAAGCCGCTCCCTCTGTCTCTAAAACAGCTTCATATTTCTTATTTTAAGAGCTTTGCACACTTTACAGACTAGACAATATGGCAGCCATAAACCAAGGCTTTTCTAATGCAATTATTGCTCTCTTTCTCATACACACACATTTTCACATACTTACATTTCTCCCCGTGTCTTGTTTCTCCCTCTCCCTCTCAACACTTAGTCTGTGTTTTGTGAGAGCAGTGTGACAAATCACAGTGGCACCGATGTGTGAGATGCAGGGTGACGTCAGCGCTGCACGGCTGTGTTCAGATGTGACTCTGAGCCCGCGGTCACCACCACATATATCACAACATCTCCTGTGTAAACACGCTGCCAAATGCCAAGAGCAGAATTATATGAGAAAATTCTTTACAGCAAATGGTGTGGCTTTGGCACCTTTGAAAGAAAACGTATGAAGAGACGGCCATTGCAACACAAAAAGTTTGATATTTTGGGATATTAATGTGTTCATGTTCATGTTACTGTTAATTCTGAGATGTTGAACAGGCGGCCTCTCGGTTTTTAGGTTACCGAATGCCACTTGAGCTCGGTATTATTTCCACTCTCCTTCGGCCTTTTGCCCAACAAGCAGTTCCTCCAGGCTGTGTGAATGAGGTCATTTTGTTCGGCTGAGAGTGCAAACGTTGCACTTTCTAAATGTGGTGACTTGTTCACACCTTCAGCCTCGTGTACAATAATAAGTTCCATCAGGCTGTAAATTATGTTTATTTGGACTCACACACAAACTGTAGGAATGACATTACACTTTCACAAACCACAAACAAATCACCGTGAGGGTCATGTTTTGTTGCCATGGACATATGGAAATCATGCCAAACTAAACACTGAGGAATATCAGTCTTGTCCTGATACATTTTTTTATTTCTCATTCTGCAGTGGATTATTTTAGAGCTGAAACAATTTGTTTATTGACATTAATTCAATTAATCTGCAACTATTTTCATAACCGATTAAAGCAAAAATGCCAAACATTTGCTTCTTCCAGCATCTCAAATAGGAGGATTTGCTGGTTCTTTGTCGTATTTGATAATAAAATAAATAACTCAATACATTTGAATACTCAATGTTTGGCTCTGTGGAATTATAATTGGCATGTATTTCTTTTTTAATTAAAGTTTTATAAGCCAAACAATAAATCAATTCATTGAAAATATAATCTAAAGATTACTTGATGGTCAAAATAATTACTTGTTGCAGTCTGAATTTACTGTAGGTGTGTTTCATTACCTCTGTATACCACCTTGCAATTCACCCTGCTCGCCAAAAACATGTCACATCATCACGCCATTGATTCAAACCTGACAATAATCTCACCAATCAATTATTTCCCATATCGAGCTCACACACCCAGCAAACAAACACTGACTCACAGGGCATGACCACTCCCTTTGATTCCCTCACACTGTCACCATTTTGTTCTTTTCTTTTACACTCCAACTCAAGCATGCAACCGAACAACACACACACACACCAATGTGGACACACATTCAGGCAGTCCCTCATTCCACTTTCCTACAACTGTTCAGTGAAGCACAACTTCACATCTCACAACCTAGACAAACATATTTATTCATGATTCCTGTGCAGGGAGGGGTGGACTGTTAACGCTGGTTGACAGGACAGACATATTTCTCTGTCTGGAAGGATTCTTCACGCCTTTGTTAGGTTGTACAACATGTACTGTGGCTCTGCACATAAACACCAGGCACCCAGTTCCTTTATAAAAATGATGCACAGATGCCATTGAGAGGCTGTCAGTGAACATCGTAATGTTGCAAGTGTAGACAAGAGTAGAGCTTTGACTTCTAAAGACAGGTCTTGTGAATTTTCTTTGTAATTATTATAATTATTTGTAAGATTTCAAAATGCACTGATGATAGTGCTTTCAGATGGGATCTGTACTGCAGCATTGATTACAGACAAATCTCTTAAATCCAGTGGTGTAGTAGTGCCTGGAGAAGTAGGTATAATAATCTTAATCTATGCCTCCCAGTTTTTTTTTAAGCGGCATGCTGACATGTAAGACTACTCTTGCATATTCTCACCCAAAAATGGAGCACTAGAAGTTGCACATTGTCCCTTAAATTCTTCTGCTTGACTTCAGGGAATAGGGATCATTATGAAATTCACATCAGACACAGAAGAGGTGCAGATTTTGCAATTAATTCTGGCCCGCAGACGGGTGAGACAACTACATAATTATGTGTTTTGAGTCAAGTATTCCTTACTCCATCCTCTCATGAAAATTGGACTGAACTATGTCATGCATTTGCTATCCAAAAAAAAAATTGCCTTTCAAAACACTATTGAATGATGCTTTAGAGGGGAATTAGATCTCACTGTCATCTGTTAATCATCGGCGCTATAATAAAATTAGACCAAAAAAAGCACAATTAGTTCATTTTATTGAAATACACATACATTTGCTTCGCGGCAGAGTGATGAGAAGACCAATACCAATTTCATGTTTGTCTCTTAGCTTAGCACAAAGACTGGAAACATGTGAAAAAGCTTGCCTGGCTTTGTCCAAAGGCAACAAAATCCGACTATCATCATTTGCATAAAAAAAGTGTAAAAATTACAATTCACTGTTTTATAGGGGGTTATGTGCTAGCCTGCTGTATTTCTTGGCTTTGAGTAGTTAACCAGAGAGTTCAAACAGAAAAGAAAACAGTTATAAGTAGCATGAGAACATATTTTAATACTTAGCTATTTTAATAGGTTTGAATACATCCTGTTATTCCAAAAAAGAACCCCAACCTGATCTGGATTTCCCTCTTGTAATAGAAAAACTCCAGATGTGGTTCTTCAGTCACTTTGACTCCTAATGCAAGTGTGAGGAGATGCTGTACAATGTATGAAAAGATCAAGTGATGAAGTGATCAAAGAGAGACTGTTGAGACTCAGCCCTAACCTCCTCCTCACCGCTCAACAATCCTGTCATTATTCTTTCCCCACCAGGGTGGGCCGGGAATTTTCCCCTGCAAAACAGCATAAACAACAACAACAAAAGATAATAATACACGGTGACGTTCCAATTTTTCAAGACGGAAGTTGTAAAAAGAGCTTGAGTTTGTTTTTCTATGTCTCCCCTTGTGGACCCACCCAGCAACGTCATGCCATCTACAATGGGAAAACAAATCACACTGAATGCTCTGACCTGAATCCCCCTTGTTTAATGGGAACCAAAACCACAACAGAACCATGTACATTTGTCATAGTTTGCTTATTATTTGCTAAATCAAGACACAGATCCGCTAATGGTGCCTTTTCTCCTCGGGTGACATTTTATAATGGGAGTATTGATAGCCAGGCAGTTTGCGTTGCCCTCGCCATTTCAAACAAGCCCTGTTTTCTTTTTGCTCCTGAGCTGCTTTAAACAAACTGACTAGGTAGCTGGCTCTGCATGTTCCAACTAGACTCCACATCTGCTGCATCCTGCTGATCTGTGCAACAGAGAAAGTCTGCAGAATCATTCTTCACGTCCCACAAATTTAATATTTCTTTTGTACAGATAAGCTGTATCATCTTTCATCCCAGGGTTACAGGAGTGGTGCAAAGTGCGTCGTAGATTATCATCACATCAAGTTCAAGGTCTAAAGTAAAGGTTTTGCTTAGACTCTGATGAGTAATGTACCCTACATCTCTCTTTTCCTCTTTGTTTCAGGTCACAGGTGCTCCACAGCTGCTGTGGACGAAGACATCTGGAGCGCAGGAGGATGTTGGAGAAGATACAGAGGGCAGGAAAGGGCACAGAGGTTTCAGGGTGGATCCAGCCTCTGCCCTCGGCTGTGGTGGGGAGGGTTCCTGGCACCGTGATTTGATGCACAAAGAGAAACAAAAATCACATTGCCAGGGATTTCCACTCTTTCACAGCTCAGCAGGTGACCGCGTTATATTTCCACACTGGGATTCTTTTGTTCTTGGCCGTTCTGTTTGTTCAGTTATGATCTGACACTGGATGTTGCTATGGAGTCAAAGGAATAAATATTGGAGAGGTTAGACAGATATTGTGATCAACTCTCTCAATGGACTTGAAGAAGTCAACTTGTGGTTTCTCACACAGTAAAAAAGTACACGTCTCTTTTAAATACTGTCTAAATGCATTTAAGGCTGCAGTTCAGCTGTCTTCACTGCTCTCCCCTTTCAAATCAGCCAGGAAGTCGATGTAAAGATAGAAGATAGAATGCATTTTTTTGAGGCAGATCACGTTTCGGCTCTTGGATCTTAGATTTATAAACAAGTAGCGATTTTGATCCTCTATTGGCAGAATACTCTGAAACACAATACGAATGAGCCCGGTTGAAGGCGAAGCAAACCTCTACATCATAAGCATTGCTTGGCTTTGAAAGCCGGCACACTTTACCACTGAGCAGTCACGTAAAGGTCTGCGTGAGTCTCTGTTCCCTCGAAAGCCAGCCACCCACTTGCTAAAGGCACAGAGCTTAGCTAATTGGTGAGCATTGATCCCTGCTATGTGTTGTTCACAGTGGCTAAGTTCAGTGCCTGAGGTGAAATAGTTGATTCGACGGAGGGGATTTGTTCCGGTGAATGGAAAGAACTTGATGATCTCGGATATGAAGAAGGGAGGAGGGAGGAGGAGAGTGACGAGAGATTAGGTGGAGAGGGAGAGAGGTGGGAAGACAGAAAAGGCTAAAGGTCCCACGTAGGAACTACGTCGGGTTAAGTGTGTTGCCATGGACTAAATGCAGGTCTTGGTTGTGCAATGGCCAGTCCAGGCATGAGACAATCTGCACCGTTTTTTAAATTGTGCTTGCCTGAAGCAATAACTGCCTTATCTTACCTTGTCTATCTGGCAAGAACCATCATGCATACCAAATATATTTAAAAGCGCTTCAGTGAGACAGTTTGACCCAGGTTTAATGTGGACTTAAAAATGCCACAGGTTGTATTGCGATTTTAGGAATGTGGTTCTAAATGTCAGACCCGTCTGGGCATGCCCAGTTCATGTCCAACTGAGTTTGCTCAGGACTAGTGTGCCAGCGTTTTGGTGCCACACAGCAGCCTGGACTGTGTTGGAGTCTGATAAACCGCTCCTCATAGCTAAGCAACTAGTAAAACAAAGTGTATGAAATAGATTATACTGTGTGTATAATGCACACTACATGCTCATAGCTACAGCATTAGGCGAAGGAGTGTATTATTAACAGCATTAGTCTTTGGAGTCACAAGTTATTTAAAAAAAACCCTCCTGTTCAGAACTAGCTGTGTATTATTTCTTCACTGTGTGTAAGCTAACATTAGCCGCTCTGTCCCGCTCTTTATTAGATTAGTTACACTCCAGCAACCCAAATTAATGTTAGCATTACATTACAGACGCATTGGTTCGTCCTCTTAGTCCTCACCATAAAACCCTTTTCTCTTGTGATATTATAAATAAAATTATGGTGGTTGAAACTACTAACACATTTGTATGCTAAACCGCCAATGTTAAAGCAGAATAATTAAATATTTTATTAAAATATTAGGACTAACTAAGCTAGCATTATGAGATCAATCCCACTTCTCTTTGTCTGTTTTTCTGCCTATTTTATTGATCACCAACTGCTGAGGATGCTGACTGTCTGCCTGACCTCAGTTTTTTAGCACAATATATCTTACTGTGTTAATTTCTGTACTATTGTCTGACAAATTATTAAGACTTTTGAGCTGTAATTCTGCCACTGTTATCGCTGTAAACAGTATGCGTGCCATACAAGCACAGAAAGCTTGACAGGCGTAGCAGCTGCTGGGCTTAGCTAACAGTAAATACACTGCATGTTGCATGTCATATTACACTTTTTGTTGGGATTTTAAAAAAAAATCCTTCTGCATTTGTGTTGTCAAACAGAACGAGGGCTGTGCCCTCCCGTGCCTACTGAACTGGTATCAGTGTTTTACCTGAAAACTGGCTCAGTTCAGCAGGAACAGGAGTGGAGCCCACTAACTAGCAGCATCTATGTCCCGCGTTACCTCATCATCTTCCACTGAACATGCAGCAAGGCGGCCCAGCTTCAACATTTTGCAGCGCTCTCTTGTTTAGTTGACCACACCCACCACAGAGTGGTGTAGGGCATTAGCGTCGAGTCATTGGCCCTGATGAAAATCAAACCCGAGCCCTCCAACCTGTCAGACGATGGCACTGAACCCTGAACTGTATGCAAGGCAGTGCAGCTCCAGTAAGATGACTGTCCCTTTCTTTGCTAAAATATGAATGTTTCATAAGCAGATTTACCATTTTTTGCTTGATAGGTAGGCCCTGGCATCCTGAGCTGTTGTGTGAATATTGTTACATACTGATGCAGTCGATCTTGTTGTTCTGCTCAGCCTTCATGTTTATTTCAGCATTGTTCCTGCAAACACGTCTCTCACTCTTTGCCTATGTCTCTCTCTCTCTTTCTCTTTTTTCGGTCTTTCTGTGCTGTCAAAGGCCAGACTGAGACTGGAGTTCATTGTCAGGTAATCACAGTGAAATGTCTGCTATGCATATATAATTGATGTCACCCAGCAATCCCCATTATCAGTGATTGGGAATGTGTGCAATGCTGCTTCTTCCCCGCTCGCCATTTAACTCGCAGCCAACAAAAAAAAGTGCTTCATCTTGAAGATTTCATACCCACAGGAAAATGGAAGCTCATTAGCAAGCATGATGAATATGCTCTTACCCAGAAACTCTACTGATCCTGGTTGGCAACGTACAATTATATTTCTGTTTCTCTGATTTTTGCGAATTTAAATGTTCCACTCGGACCTTGAGAAGATTACCCGAAGAAAGGTTATTAGGAAATCTGTGTTTTTATCGTGTCAGTGATGTGATATTGACTTCAGGGCATTGTTTCAGCCAAGTGCTACCACAGATAGGTTAGCTATGATTTGCGTAAGCGTTTATTCTAACTGAATGTGGAAGACACCAGTGCATGAAGTGCATTATTATAAATGTCAGTGATTTCCTAACTACTTTTAACCATTTGAAGTATGATTTGTTTTTATGTTACAGGTGCAAACTGTGTTTCATTTCATTACAAATTCAGCCACATTGTAATGTAATAAAGTTCAAATGAACCTGAGAAAGTATTCTAGCATTGTTTTTCATTCACGATAATATCATTCATCCCTAGAAGGGAAACGTGTTGCAGCAGGAAAGAACAAAGGAGACAAAATAAAGAGGTAGTCAAAGAGGTGGGACATTCCGGAAGGTGTAAATGAAAATAAATAAAAAATAATGTGATTAATGATGGGGTTTTGTTAGCTTTGACCCTGATGCTTCAGGAAACAAGCGGTGGAGTAAACTTCCTTTCTGCGTGAATCCACACCTACAGGTTTGTTTCATTTTGAAACTGACGTAGTCTTCAGCCACAACTGATGCTGACTCAAGTGATACCACTTAAGGCGATGTTTTAGACTTTGCCACAAAAGGCTTTATAGAACTTTTTTCACTTTCAGTTCCTTCAGACCTGAAAACAGACTTTGTAAAATTGATGCAGTGCCTTTTAAATGATTAAAATTTTTTTTATGGGTTGAGAAGAAATTCAAATTCTTGTGAATTTGGTGAAATAAACCAATGAAATCCGTTGGATTGTCTGAAAAATGCTAAAAATACTTTTTAGTTCATGAAATGCTGACATTTTGGTGATTCACGGTTCATAGACCTTTATATTCAGGAAATAAGATTTACAGACATTCCTGACAGCTAGTTATTTAAATCCAAATAATAAAAGAGACACTATTCACAGTATTCTGTCTGGTCAAACCTTTCTGTGGGAGATAACTTTGACTCATTGATCTCAGTGTTTCTAAAATCCAGTGCATTGCTTATTGTCAGTGTTTCCAGCAAAAGGTCAGGTTCAACTTTCTATTTGAGTCACACTTGTTACACCCAGTTTCAGACTGCTTGTTTCATACATCAAAATCAAAAGAATGACACTACATATTCTTGAGCACTCATGAAAACAGACACACACATCCACACAGCCAGAGACGGGTACCCAGACCAAAGCCTCCAGCTCTCCTTTTAGTCTCCATAGCAATGTCAATATCCCTTTTATCTTCTGGCCTCAAAGGCTGACCAGATTTCATGATGTGGCTGCTTTATTGAGCCTGATCTGCTTCAGTCGCCCCCTCCGCCATTCAATCAGCATCCGTGCGGTTCTGGCCCATGGCCGTGAGCTTGGCTGCGTAATTTGGTTTAGAGCTGAGCGGGAACATCTGTTCTACAAAGCTTCAGCTCCTTCCATTCCTCAGGCCTCATGGAAAAAACCAAGGCCAGCGGTGGGGCCGCTGCTGCAGTACGGGACCTCCAAACCTGCAAGTCCCAAGATCGAGTCCAAACCCTCTCAAGAATAATCTCGGCGATGAGAGAAGAAGAATGACAGGTCTTTGAAATGCGAGGTCCAAATGTGTGAGGTCATGTAGGATTTATAGTCCGACTGACAGTGAATAAGAATATACTTTATTGATTTCATATGTACAGTAGGAGGTTTAAAACTTTGAGACAAAGTGTTTCATTCAGTTGGATGATTTATTATGTAGTTACAGAGTGTGTACAGTTGTGACATTAATATCTCCAGTGTTTCAGTGTTATTAGCATTATTTAGTCACAGTTGAGGCCACAGTTGAACATATTTTGTGCTTGAGCCAGAATCTATATAAAGCTGGTTTTATGAAACTCTGTATGGAGCTGGTTTCTAAAATCTTATTTGAATATTTTCAAAAATGGTGACATTTAAACACCTGCAAGCCCTGTCAACATTTTGAGAAACATCCTTATTTGCGCTTAAGTTAGATGACAGGACTGATATCACTCTCATATCTATGATGCATGGAAACAAGGTGCCTAAAGCTCATGAAGTAACCTGTTCCTACATCTCGCTTGTTAAATCTGTACAAAAAAAACTAAATGTAAAAATCAGCCTCAGCTGTACTCTGTATGTACCGATAATTAGCAAAGGTTAGCGTGCTAACACACTGAACTAAGAGGGCAAACATCAGCATGTTAACATTGTCATTGTGCGCGTGTTGTCGTGTTAGCATTTAGCTGTTCCTAAATTCAGTCTCAGAGAGCCTCCAACACCTCTGCAGAACCCCTCTTTAAGAAAACACTCATCGTCCCTTAAGAAACCTTTGGAAACTGAAGCCGAATCATCACCCTTGGAACATCTTTCACAACACAATTAGTTAAGTGGTCACAGTGCTCAGCCAAAGCACAGCAAGAATGAGAGAGGGGATTAAGAAAAGAGAGAAAACATGCTCACATAGTATATTCCCAAGGTTGAGAGCAAAGTCACCGCAGATGGCTGACATCCAGCCCTCAAGAGAAAACTTGTGTTGTCTTTGGTAATTGTCTTCCACACTCACAATGGAAGAGGAATGAAAACGCACTTTAGCGTGCTTGTGGCAGTTTTTCATCTAGTTGGACCACGCTATTTATTTATTTTATAATTAACAGTTGATAAGAGAACTTGTGTTGACACACGTCTGCCTCCATCATTTTACTCCTCATAACTTCTGGCCTGCTCTCCTGTGTATCCGCTGTCCCACTATCTAGAATCTGATAAAGAGGAAACAGCTGCGTCCAGAGATGGTGCAGATTTTAAGTGCCCTTCCTCGTCTACACTGGCATCTCCAGAAGAGACTCCTCTGAGCTATTCTTCTGTTAAGATGCAGAGGGAAAAAATGCAGAACGAAGACAACGTGGCAGTGCATTCCCCTTTAATTAAGAAACAACTGAACAGAATTTTTCTTGCCCTCTCATCCTTCCTCATTCCTCTTGAGCTGATCTCTTCCTACTGTGTTTCTTCCATTTAGAGACCAACTATGTGTACAGGGAATAACAGACATATTTAGTATGTGTTTATGCACAACTGTAGAGACATGCATCACCATGAATAAAAAACTAAATAAATCCAGACCCACTAACGCAAGAGAAGAAGAGGACATTGTTCTTCGGCTTCCTCAGACCTGATTCCTCACTCAGGTGCAGTCGATAGAAACAGACACGTGAAGGAGAAAAAGGTTCTTGTATGCTGAATGTTTGTTCGTGTGGACATGCAGTGAGTACGCCCTTCTTGGTCTTTTGTTCTCCCTGTTGCAAGAGCGTGATGTCAGCTGCCCAAAGGAATGGCAAACACATTGATTGATTGGGTATAATTGTAACCACAAAACTGGATATTTGCACAGCCATTATTGATGTCTGACTGTGAAAATGGGACGCTGTAAAGTTGCCAAATAAGCTGGATGTTTTCTCTGGGAGTTTTTCTCAGGGAGCGAGTCCGCCGGGTTAAATAAAGAGAGAGTTTCCTGATGCTGCCAGTTTATGAAATCATGTGTGTGAATGAGAAAGGCCAGATAACGAGTGCCTCACCAAACGGACACCTGGCTATCACTGTCTGCTTCATATCACTGTGGGAACACGTTTACTGTAGATCCATGAGCACACTCATGCACACTTACAATGACACATGGTTAGGTATGCACACATAAAACATAAACACATGCACTTTGCACACATGTTCGCTTAAACACACTCAAACAAAGCTCTCTAGAAAACACTGGACATCTAGAGTCTAGATGTCCAGTATTTTTGTTACATTAAAGTCATTGTTGTGCAGTCATTTTGCAAAAACTTATGTTCCCATTATAGTATCCATTAAACAGTTGGAATTATTTCATAATTAGCTGTTTAAATGAACTGCAAATATTATATTATATGTAAGAAAAACAACCATGTAGTTAAAACCTTCTCCGACTGGACCAGATTCTGACTGATTTTTCCTCCACTTTTACGTGAGCTGTAGAAGAAAACAGAACAAGATATCACAGGCTCTCTCTTTTACAGCTTTCCATTCCCATGTGATCTCCATGTATGCGTGACAACATGTCAGCAAGAGAGGAATGATAATCTATCTGAGTCAATACATTACTGTCATTTTCTTTTTTCTCTACCTCAGCCCATACGTTTTCTGTCAGTGCAGTGAGCTGTGTGTCTAAGCTCTCTGCTTATACACACTATGCTCATACCTTCTCTTTGGCTACTGTGTGGATTGAAGAGTCAAAGAGTGTCCTTCCATTACTGGCCTGTGCACACTAGTAAAGTCATATCTCTGCAGCTGCAAGGTTTTCTCATAATAGACTCAGGTGGTTCGTGATCACTCTTTCCACAATGACTAAACAGCCATCGACACAACGCTGGAAACATTTGTGTCCAAACAAAATACCTTATTGTTTTTTTCAGTGAGTGACCAAGATGCTTAGCCAACAGACTTTTAGTAAAACCGTGTTTAGTCTATTTTTTGATGCATCCTGCAGTCTGAGTTGGGGCTTGGAAGTAGGCTAACACTGGATCTAGTTCTCATGTGATCACTTCTTTCATTTTTCTGAATGCATCATCATGTTGTAAATCCCCAAACAAACTCAGTAGAATCTTTCAAGAGCTGATGCGAGGGGCATTTATGATGAGAGGCTGGGAGAAATGGGTGATTTAATGTCCTGTGTAGCTACTTTGGATCCATCTTACTTTCCATGAATATGGAGACAAAGGAGCTGCATGAGCATTGAAACCAGAATTTGTACATTTAGCCATATTTGGGGCAAGCTTTTGGGAAAAATATAAGCAAGTGGTTGAATCACAGAGAAGTAGATTATGCTGCAGCGGTTTAAGAGAAGTTACTATTGACATTTTGATGTGTATTTTTCCTGCGAGAAACTGGGTCGCTTTATAACTGCCGTAAAAACACATTGACATCCGCCCTGAAAGAGGCTACAAAAAACCCCTTCAAGACTTCATAGGTTGTGTTTGATACTCTGAGGAGGTTTTGGGTGGAGTATACCTTTAAATTGATTGCGTGTCTGTGAGAGATGCCACCTAGACTCTAAGCTGTCAGTTCGGTATTTCAGCAATTAAGAGAGTAAAATCTTATTTTTACTGATGAGAACGATGGCCAAAAATACAAAAAATGTGACCCAGAATATGAAAAACTGGAATTTCCCTTCAATATATGAAACACACTAAGAACTGATTGCAGTTTTTAACAAGTGGAGAACAAAAACATGACTTATCCATGATGATTGATTAG